CTCAAACAATCCACCACCTTGGCCTCCCAGAGTGCTATGATTACAGGCGTGAGCCACCACGCCTGGCCCTCTCCAGCACTTTTGATCCAATTTTTGTGTAAGCTGATACAGAATCCTTTGCCTACAGTTCTCTCTGGGACAGGAGCCTCCTAACACCCAGCAAAATTTGGAATAGAAATTTCTTTCCAAACAAAAAGTGATTATTGGACCCCAGGAGCTTTTGAATGATTTGGGGGAGGAACTAGAGAAGGTTCTTTGAGGAAAATAGGTAAATCCCTGTTAACTGATTCCAGCTTACAATCTTACATTCCTTTATTTTTAAAAACAGGTCATGGTGGGTCAAATATAAAAGATATCCAGAGAACAACAGGTACGAAGATACAGGTAAGTCATTGTGTTCTTAAAAGAACATAGTTCATTCCCAAGGAAGCACCTACTCTAATTTCTGCTCAGTTATTAACATCTGTGGTAAATTAAATAAGTTGCCAAAGCTCTTCAAACTGCTATTCTCAAAAACCCACCTGAGCTGTAGTTGGTTCCAGGTGAAGATTTTGTGACTCTTGGATATAAAAATCTTTACAGATAATCTCCAAGTACAAATGAGGTCTCTGGACTATTTATCATGCCCCAAATGCTCCCTTCCAGAGCCCCTTTTCTCAAACCTTCACGAGATCCTGTGTTCTCAATTTTAGCGAATGGCAGCATCATTCACTGAGTTCTCAAGCCAGAAATCTCGGATTACCTGTTGTGGTACTTCCTTCTCCTTGTCCTCATCCACTACTGAGTCTTGCCTACTATTTCCTATACTTCTCAAGGGAAATGCTGTCATTTGCATTACATTCCGGTGCCCTCTAACTATTCTCCAGTGTGGTCAGACCAATCTCTTTATCTTTTTTTTTTTTTTTTTTTTTTTTTGAGACAGGGTCTCACTCTGTCACTCACTGCTAGAGTGCAGCAGTGTCATCATAGCTCACTGGGCTTAAGTGATCCTACTGTCTCAGCCTCCCAAGTAGCTGGGACTACAGGCACACACCACCACACCTGGCTAATTTTTCTATTTTTGGTAGAGACAGGGTCTTGCTTTTGCTAAGGCTGGTCTCAAACTCCTGACCTCAAGTGATCCTCCTGCCTTGGCCTCCCAGAATGCTAGGATTACAGGCGTGAGCCACCATGCCTGGCCCAGAACAGTCTTTTTTTTTTTTTTTTTTCTACTTCACCAGGTAAAGAACCAAAGAACAGTCTTTTTAAAGCACAAATTATGTGTTCATGTCCATTTACCGCATAAAAACCTTTCATAATATCTCAAACCCTTAAGGCCATACAGCCTAGCATCGTTTTCTTGATTTGGCCTGTTGACTGTCCAGTCTCCTCCCCTATTCCCTCTTGAGTATTCATTCCATCCATTTCCTGGCACTCTGCTATCAGAGCCGTCTCTTCATAAAAATATTCAGTCAATGAGGGTATCTGAAATTATGCATGTTTAAAGGTGTTACTTGTAGATTCTGTCCACAAAATGACAGGTCAGCCCTGTAAACTTCACTCCATAACAGTACACATGTGTTGTGTAAGTACAGAATCCATCAAGGTAAAAATTTACATAAGTACCAGACAGGTCCATAAACTCTTACTTATCTGGCATGTAGGTTAATCCATGTAAGCCATACAATTCGGTGAGATTAGCCAAACAAATGTCACCATTTTATAGGTGGGAGAACTCAGACCCACAGTATCACCTGTCAGATTAATGCCTTAATTTTTTTTTTTTTTTTTTTGAGACAGAGTCTCACTGTGTTGCCCGGGCTAGAGTGCTGTGGCGTCAGCCTAGCTCACAGCAACCTCAAACTCCTGGGCTCAAGCAATCCTCCTGCCTTAGCCTCCCGAGTAGCTGGGACTACAGGCATGTGCCACCATGCCCGGCTAATTTTTTCTATATATTTTTAGTTGTCCAATTAATTTCTTTCTATTTTTAGTAGAGACAGGGTCTCGCTCTTGCTCAGGCTGGTTTCGAACTCCTGAGCTCAAACAATCTGCCCGCCTCGGCCTCCCAGAGTGCTAGGATTACAGGCGTGAGCCACCGCGCCCGGCCTAATGCCTTAATTTTCCCCTCTATGCTATTTGCTGAGTTTATTCCCTGTCAGCTTTTTCGTTTACAGATTGTCCTGCTCCTCCCCATCCAAACAGGAGAGCAATCCCAGAGTGGATATAAATAGCCTCTCCATCAGATTAGAAATTTAGACATCAGTTGATAACAATACTGTATTTACTTTGTACTTTTATACTTTTTGAAATTGTGTGATTGTTGCGGGGGGGGGACAGTGAGGGGACTTAAGTCTCACATTTTCCCCCTTGTATCTAGATAATAAAAGGATATCCAGAATCATTAGTGAAAATATTTGGTACCATGGCGATGCAAACAAAAGCAAAAGCAGTGATAGATAATTTTGTTAAGAAACAAGAAGAAAATTATTATTCAGAACACAAAGTTGGTAAGTAATGTTTGCTCAATGAAGCCCTTTAAAATTTTTTAAATTTCCTTCAGTATTATGAGCCATTATACCTGATTTCCTTGCATTATAGAAAGCATTAGGTTGCCATAAATCTAGTCTTATAAATCTTCTATGAAATTCCAGAATACTTTTTTCCTCAAATTAAAACTACTTAATCTCTGGGTAAGCTTAGCAGTTTTACTTTTAGCCACAGGTAAGTAAAACTGAAATAACCTTTTAATATGTACCCACTTTATTAATGGTAAAAATTGGTCCTGGGCTCCTGACTCATCCCCAGATCCATGACTGACTTTGAAAACTGCTTAGGTGTTTGGTATTTTAAAAATCTCAGATAAATCTAGAAGAGAAAAGCCATTGAACCATGTCTAGAAGCAACATGGAAGTAGAACAGAAAGACATGGGTTCAGATGGCAGCATTGCCCCTTAGTGTTTCTTGGGAAAAAACCTCTAAGGCCCCATTTCTTCATCTGTTAGCCTGGAGTAATATCTGCATCATAGGACTATTGTAAGGATTAAGTAATGTGTATGACTATTTTAGCACACGCTAGACTCATGCCATTTTCCTTCCCCTCTCCAATAAATTAAATTTTTCATAAGTTATTAAATATTGTACTGTAGTATGGAACCCCTAATATTTTTTTAAACAAAAATACATTTTTCTTAAATTCAGATTATGGGGGTACAGACATTTTGGTTACACGTAATGCATTTGCCTTGCCCAAGCCAGGGCTACAAGTATGCCCTTCCCCCATACAGTGGGCTCTGCTTCCATTAGATGTGGGTTTACCCCCGCCACCTGACTGGCACCCAGTGAGTATTACTGCCACGTGAGCACCTTAGTGTTGGTCGATTAGTACCAATTTGATGGCGAGTACATGTGGTGCATGTTTTTCCATCTTTGTGGTACTTCACTTCGAAGGATGGGCCCAAGCTCTATCCAGGATAATGTACGAGGTGCTAGTTCACCATTGTTTTTTGTAGTTGAGGAGAACTCTATGGTATACAGATACCACATTTTATTAATCCACTTATGTATTGATGGGCACTTGGGTTTGGATACCCCAAATTTTATATTTCAAGCATTATCATCTGGTTACTAGGAAACAATAGAAAACTAATCCAATAAAATACTTTCAACAGATATTGTTGCCTTCCAACCTTCTGTTGGAAGAGGTCGAGGCACAGATGACAATGTTGCTGCAGAAGATCGGCCTTTGATAGATTGGGATCAAATTAGAGAGGAAGGTTTGAAATGGGAAAAAAAAAAGTGGGCAGGTCAGTGCTGCATCCTAACATTTACATGTATTGTTTCTTAGAACTGCAGTTTTGTTTTTGTTTTTTTGGGGTTTTTTTTTTTCATCCTACCTAGACCAGCTAGAAACTGCAGTTTTTATCCTCTGTAAAAGGTCTGTGCCTTATTTTTACTAATGAAATCTATATGAAAAATAGTGATTTAAAATGATTGATTCCCTAGGTCATGAGAGTTACCTGCTGTGGTTTATGCCGTAAGTGGAAGATTAAATATATTTATACTTATTTGAGGTAACTCACTGCAAAAGGTTGATAGAAGGTTAATAAATAAATTTTCCCCAAGGGGAAAATATAAAGGGAATTAACATGAGATAAATTATTAAATCACAAGAAGCATAACAGTTTTTGAGACAGGGCTCTTTTTGTTTGAAATTCATTTATTTTTAAAAAGGTTCAGTCTTTTTTTCTCTTTAATTTTTTTTATCAGACTTAGCATCAGAATGTTTATTTGCATTTTAAATGAAATTTCTCACTTAGAACATTATACATGGGGGATAATGTTTCAAGGTAAATTCAAGCACTAACCTTGGCTATCAGAATGGGGCAGGAATACAGCATCTTTTATTTAAAATTAAAAAGCCAATGCACTAATGTGAGCAAAATATTAACAGTGATTAATGCCACTGGGTTGGTTAGCATCTCTGTATGTTAAGTTTCCAGTGCTGCCTTGACAGTATATATGTTGGAGGTTTGGGATGGAGGACCAGGGAAAGGATTTGAAGTTTGGAACAGCTACAATAGGCATTTAAGAAATGTAGCTTTAAAGGGCTGGGCACAGTGGCTCATCCCTGTAATCCTAGCACATTTGGAGGAAAAGGCGGGAAGGTCACTTGAGCCTAAGAGTTCAAGGATATAGTAAGCTATGATCATGACACTGCACTCTAGCCTGGGCCACAGAGCTGTCTCTTAAGAAATGTAGCTTCAAAGAGTAGACTAAAGATATAGATTTAACTACTAAAAAGTAATGGGATGGGTATTCAACCCCCTACTGCTAAATTTGACTGGCTGAAAAAATATAAAGAAGAAAAAAAGTGATGGGATGGACTTTGAAATAAAAGATAAAATCATGTACTATGATCAATAGCAGATTCATCAATTATGGTGCTTTTATGTCCTGTAAGGCATGTTTTCTTTTACTTTAAACTTGAATATTGAGAGATATTAAGAGATCCCTCTCTTGAGTGTAAATGTAATTGAAACACAAACCAAAAATCTTTCAGATTGGCATAAAGCCTGGCTGGCAAAGAATAAAATTGTCTAAAACTGTATTCATGCTAAACATATATTTTAGTTTGATTTCTATAGCTTTGACTGTAAGTGTTAATGAAATGTAAATGTAGATTCTCTATCAAAAAATGGATTCTGTCTTGGTCCCAGACTTACCTCCAATTGAGAAAAACTTTTACAAAGAGTCAACAACAACAAGCTCAATGACACAGGTGGAAGTAGACAATTGGAGGTGGGTAGCTTTATTACCTTGCTGAAATGAGTTTTTGTATAGTTATTAGTATTAGTATTTTAGGCAAAGATGTAAAGTGATTGCATTTAGAGATTGCACCTTCCATATTAATTCAAACGAAAAAATGGTTGCATCCTACGTGATATATATTTAGAGCATTGCTATCGGGTAAAATTTTCTGCAATGATGAAAAATGGTCTGTATTTGTGTCTAATGGAGTAGCCATATGCAGCTATTGAGCACTTAAAAATAATGGCTATTATAACTGAGCAACTGAATATTTATATTTCTAAATTTAGCCACATGTGACTAGTGCCTGCTGTATTGGACAGCAGTTTTAGAGAATTGCTTCTCTAACATAGGAGAATTGAAAAAGAAATGGATCTGATACCTGTATTAGAGTAATTTGTGACACTCTTCTGTCCTTGTTATCTGAAATTAGAATGTTTTACTTGGAGGTCTATCCAAGACCCATTCAACTTTTCCTCCTTTTTTTTTTTTTTTCCTGAGACAGTCTCGTTCTGTCGTCCAGGCTAGAGTGCCTGAAATTGGAATGTTTTAATGGCAATTGTTTTTACTATTGAAGTCTGATAGAAAACCAAGATTGTGCAGAATAGCAGAAAGGGGGTTAAGACGAGACTCAGACCCTGGGCAAATAACTAATCGTATGATCACTTGTCAAATGAGAATAATTCCTGCCTCACAGGATTGTGGATTAATGAAGGAAATGTTTGGGAAATCATATAGGCCCTCAAATGTTTGCCAAATCTGGTTTTGAATTATGAAGCTTATTATTTTCAGGCTTTACTCTTTGTAATTTTTCATCCATGAGACAGTCATTGGCCCATTCATGCATATAATCAGATTTTCCTCCTTTCCCCTGCAGCTATTCTCAGAACATTTTACCATAACTACCTTACAGTTATGGTTTTATCAGTTACAGCTGAATTTCTAGATAGGACCTGATATTTTGGAAAATAGCATTCTTGGGGAGCAAAGTGACCACAGCCACTAATCTTTGTTTTATTTTTTCTTTAAAGAAAGGAAAATTTTAATATAATGTGTGATGACTTGAAAGAAGGTGAAAAACGTCCAGTCCCTAATCCTACCTGCACATTTGCCGATGCCTTTCAATGTTACCCTGAAATTTTAGAAACCATTAAAAAGGCAGGTTTTCAAAAGCCAACACCTATTCAGGTATGCTTTCCATAATTCTAATTTTTCACTAAATGTTGTTTTCCGCCAATACAGTGCTATCTGATTATTAGAAGTTAGATCGCCAGGGAAGAACTCTTAATAGCGTTCTCCCAGCACCTCCCACCCAGCACTTAAGAAATCTTTGTTGAAAGATTGGAGCGGGGAGAAGAGGAACTGTTGGCAAAAAGATAATTTTTGTTTTAGTGTTTATGTGTTTAATTTTAATGTTTAATTTTTGTTTTAACGTTTATAATTCTGTTTCAGTCACAATCGTGGCCAATAGTTCTACAAGGAATAGACCTTATAGGAATAGCCCAAACAGGAACAGGAAAGACATTGTCCTATTTAATGCCTGGATTTATTCATCTAGACGGTCAACCAAAGTAAGAATTCCTATGGCTGGGTTCTCTTTATGGGGATTTAACAGATAGGGACACCAAAAGTGTAATTAAAGTTTCTTTTATCTATTGCATTGTTCAAAAGGTAATGCCTAGCTTCTGAGAGGATGTAAGGAAGTAGATAGTTACACTGTACTGCTGAAAGTATAAATTGGCAAAACGTTTTTAGGAGGTAATAGGTAGTATCTACTAAAAACCTTAACAGTGACAACATTTGAAACAAACTGCTTTAAATTATGTTCTCTGGCAAGAAAATGCTTGGCATTTTAAATGTTAATGAAAAGACCATGGTAAATGACGTGGTTGGTATTGGGAAATAGGGTTTTGTGTGTGGCTTTTTTTATTTCCCTACTTTTTGGTAGATGTGTATTGGTTTTGTAATCAGAAAAAGTTTATAAAAACATCACTAAACTAAGTAAAATAATCTTAACTCTTTGAAAATGTTCTTACAGGGAAGTATTTTGGCATTTCTACATTGTATCAGCTATTTGATTAGGTGCGTGGATGGCAATTAGTAAGCTAAGGTCTGTAGTATAATGGAGGAACTTTTAATCATACACCTTCTCAGAAAAGGTATATGTCTGTGACTATGGCTGACTTCAGTACTCCTTGCTATAAATCTTGAAAGCACTGACTGAATGAACCATGCATCTGAGACAAGTAATCTAATGTTAATCTGTTTTCTCTCCAAAGAGTTAGAGGAAAAAGGGGCAGACCCGGTATGTTAGTTCTCACGCCCACACGTGAATTAGCTATTCAGGTGGACTCTGAATGTTCTAAATACTCATATAAAGGACTTAAGAGGTAAGTCCTTTTTTTGGGCCATTCCTTAACTACTATTATATATTAATCAGTTATAGGTTATCTTTTCCCATTATTTTTCACACATTTAGAGGGATAGGAATTAGCCTCTGATTTAATTACAGCCTGGACAGTAGGGACAAGTAATGGTACAGGCATGGCTCTTTAGGACACACCATTGTAGGTGGGGTGTGCATAGTTCTTAGAAAGGGGCAGATTCCACTAAAGGTATGATACTATTTGATTTTTATACCTCTTATTTTTTTTTCATCTTATTGTATACCCAAAATGCCTATGTAGGTTGGGATTTTGAGTTGTGACGAGATATTCTTTGCCTGAACATGAACCTGTGGATTTTTTTTTAAGTGTTTGTGTATACGGTGGTGGAGACAGAGACCGACAGATAGAAGATCTTAGAAAAGGTGTAGATATCGTCATTGCAACACCTGGAAGGTTGAATGATCTGCAAATGAATAACTTTGTCAACTTGAAAAGCATAACCTACTTGGTAATCATGGAGGAGGGCTTTGGGATGCTAGGAAGAAAATGCACTGACCTTATTTTTTGAGATGGGATCTTGCTCTGTTGCCCAGGATGGAGTGTGGTGGCACAGTCACAGCTCACTGGAGCCTCAAACTCCTGGGCTCAGGTGATCCTGCCTCTACCTCCCAAGTAGCTGGGACTACATGTTTGTGCCACCATACCTGGCTCATGAACTTTTATTAAAATATATTTTTTGAATGGTGT